CTTATAAGTCTTACCTAGGAGTTGGAGAAATGAAAACTTATTCAAGGATTTTGTGCATGGAGACATTAGAGCCAACTTCGTGTTATAAAGATCACTGAGTACAGGATAGAAAATGAGTTGGAAGGAAGAATAAATGTAAGGCAAGGCAGTTTGTCGGGTGGGCATCACCCTAATTCAGGAGACGATGAGAGTGGCCTGGAGTATATTAGTGGTAGTTGACATAGGAAAAGATGGAGGAATTGGAGGGTTTGTACAAAGGAGAATGACTGACCTTGGTGAACCATTACAACAATGGGTTGTCAAAGTCAAGGTCTCTATACAGGAGTGTGAAGGCATCCTGACAGAGAAACCATTATTGTAGAAAATTGTTATTATTATACATGAAGATTGCCATGTCATGACTTCCTGAGTTTTCCTGCCAGACCACTCATTAAAGTACCAATACTTTAAGTTTTAAGAGTTAGTTTGTTTCTTCTTCATTCTTTAGTCCCATAATCCCACTTCTCAGGCCCTAATATCATTCCATGTCTTTCCACCCTTTTCATGACTCTCTTCCATTCACTGACTTCTAGATACATGAACAATGTTCTATTCCCATAGGATTTTGTTCTCAACTAATGCAAAAGATAGGAAATAACCTGATAGAGTGATCCTCTACTTACGTGTAACTAATAATGTCTTCTCAGGCAGTATTCCTCCCATTAGCTATTTGCATTAATAAAATAGTAGCATATGTTGTTGTTGTTATGTGCCATCGAGTCAAACCCAACTCATAGCAAGCCCTCCTTGGGTTTCCGAGGCAGTATCACTAAGGAAGTAGGATTGCCCAACCTTCCTTCCGAGGAGTGGCTGGTGGGTTTGAACCACCAGCCGTCTGGTTAGCAGGCAAATGTCTTAGCCACTATGCTACCAGAGCTCCCAGTAGCATATGAGTTTCAAAAATTAGTATCTAGTGATAAACTTTCTATCACTATTCACAGTAATGGGAAAAACATAGTAAATCATAGAAGTATTTTGGTATCCTTTGGATCACACTATTATTTGGTTGACTATCCCATCTTTGAATTCAGAACAGCCCTGCAGAGAAACCAGAGAAATAGTAACAAACCCCATGTTCCCAGAAATCTTTGCTAAATCAAAACTTAGTGAGCCCTCACTTCCATGGGACCACTTGAATTTCCTAGAATTCCGTTTTTAAATCACTAGTTATAGGCATTGGCTGTGCATTTAAGGCATAAAGTGGAGAGCTTTGAAAACAATAGATTCCCCCACTCTGGAATTTAGACTATGCAACAGCCACTTTTTAATTCATCATACCCTTTTATCATGATTATGGATTATGAAGTCTTGAAACGCATAGCCAGGGATGGAGAAAGTGTTGGAATCAGTATTTATTTTGATGATTTAGGGATTATTGGCCATTCATTTTTAACTATTTGTAATTGGAAGTCTTGAAATAATAGAATTTATCAGAGAAATGCCTCATTCACCCTTGTATAATCTGTGTATGCTGAAATGGCACATGTGGACTCATAAATCGTTCATGTGCGCATAGGGGTAATATATCACTCCACTCCTTGTTCACTCAGTGCTGAGTGGAGGAAAGGCATAGAAGCATGACTTATAGCCTACTAGACACAACCCCATAACTTCACAGCTCACATTTCCAGGAGACATTTTTTCACATAACCTTCACAACATTTATACTTGCTGGTCATTCATGATAAAAAAAAAAAAAAAAACTTTTATCGTGAGTTTTGATCTAGGTATTTTATTATTTATTTATCAACATATACTGACAAGTTGTTTGCCACAGTCACTTTCAGGCAGTCAAATAGATCATTGTCCTGAGCTTACAACAGAGGGCCCCACCAGTGACACAACTGTGTTGAATTAGGCTTAGAGTCTAAGCAACAAATGATAACCATGTTAAAAATTAAATTAAACTGTCTTAGTGGCATAGGTTTATGTTAAAGCAGACAGTGTAACTCTCTCTTACTGAAGCTGTAATAAGGAATTCACAGTTATTATTTTAAATCACTGAGGAGTGTAGACATTGTTTGATAAAGGATAAACATCAGCTTTGAAGCATCAATTTCCCAGAACTAATTCTGTATTTTGCTATTACAGTTATTTTCTTCCTCCAATTCCGAATCTGTGTGCCGACTGAAATCTCAGTCCACTGGGATTGATAGTGCCTATATGTCAGCCTGCATCCTAAAATTTTCTCTGTTAAGAGAGTAATTATAAAATATCATACATGCTATACTGATATCAGTTAGATGCTCATGAAAAATTATCACTTTTAAATTATTCACTTTTAGGGTTCCCTTCTTCAGTTCATTTTATTGTCAAGATCTTCTAAAAAAACAAACAAAGAAAACAACTCATGCCATCGAGTTGATTTCAACTCATAGTGAGCCCTCTTTGGGTATTGGAGGCAGTATCTCTACAGAAGTAGATTGCCCAGTTTTCCTTCCCAGGAGTGGCTGGTAGGTTTGGACCACCAGCCTTCTGTTTAGCAGTCAAATGCCTTAGACTCTATGCCACCACAGCTCCTCAAGATCTTCTGGTGCTATTGAAACTGTTGTCCTTGGACCAGCAGCATCAGCCTCTCCTAGAAAATATTTAGAAATGCAGATTCTCAGATCACTTTCCTCCATACACACCACCTGACCTCCCTCACTACCAGTCGGACTGCATTGCTACAAGCCTGCTAAGCAAAATAGGTGCTCATGAAAGCTTGAGATGCTTTGCTCTCTGATAGTTGTTGGTTGGTAAATGGCATTTTGAAGGACATGAGAATCATTAATAAGTCATTAATATATATTTAAGAGGCAAAATAATATTACACCAACTAACATTTTCAAAGCGCTTACTGTGTTCCATGCTAGCTAACCAAAAAAAACCACACTCACTGCTGTCGAGTCAATTTGACTGATAGCAACCCCTCCTTGGGTTTCCAAGCTGGGCAGTAAGTATCTCTACAGAAGTAGATTGTCCAATCTTCCTTCCGAGTAGCGGCTGGTGGGTTTGAATCATCAGCCTTCTGGTTAGTAGTCAAATATCTTAGGTATTATGCCACCAGAGTCCTTCTAGATGCTTTTATATGCATTATCTCATTTGGAGAAAAGGAAGGAGATGACTCTTTTTCTGAAGATAGAGAAGTGTCTAGGACAAAGGAGAAATTTGGGAATATCCTACATACTTATTATAGCCTGGGGGAAATGGCTAAATCTTGTGTGGAAGGATACATGATAAGAACAGGTGTAGTTTACATATGTGAGGGGTGAAAACTAGAGCAAAGACAATGGAGATAGTAATGTTTTCTCAATGATCAAGAAAAAAAGTTACAGTAATGGATTCAGCCAAGGTAGCTAATGTACTGGAAACACATAAGATCTTCACTCATCTTCTCACTTTAGAACAAAGGATAAAAGAACATGTAAGTTGCAAGTTTACTTATATTAAATGTGATATAATAATAATAATAATGTAAATGTATGCTTCTTTATATGATTCCAAATCTTGGCAATGGAGAATTCTTACACTAGTAATACTGCCGAAAGAGTGTATCATTTTAATGTATAATCATGAGTATTTTTCTTTAAGGAACATGCTTAAGTATAAAAGCTAATTGAGAAGATTCTATGTTTGAAAATGAGAGAAACTAGTTTCTAATCTTGATTTTGACCTGATGCATAGCATAACGACTGATAAACCAAACTGTGACCAATTACTCTGTTAACCAAATTAGTGATACTGATATATTTGATGGAATTTTTGTAAATGGCAACTAAACTTGTTCTTGAGTGAAGGCCTTTAAAGGATAAGGTTCTCTGAAGTACTGGATGGCTAATAATTCTTCTATTTGCATTAGATTTTAGGCTTAAACTATCCCTATTCTAGTATGAATAATTGTTACAAATCTATAGAGACATAATTCATTTCTCACTAATGTCACTGGGAGCCACTATTATAATTCCACTTCTCTGGAAGCTAATATAATTGCTAGGTTTCCTAGGTAGTAATATTACAGGTGAGAATTGTATTAGTTATGTATTAATACATAACAATTTACTGAAAAATTTAGCATCCCAAAACAACAAACAAATATTATATCACAGTCTCTGTGGATCAGGAATCCAGGCTTGAGTAAGCTCGGTGCTCTGAATTTCATGAAGGAGCTCTGGTGGCGTAGTGCCTAAGGCATTTGACTGCTAACCATAAGGTTGGTGGTTCAAACCCACCAGCCACTGGGTTTCATGAGGTTTTTGTCAAGTGGGGCTGCAATCTCATCTGAATTCCTAGGGGGATCCTTTCACATGGTGGTTGGCTAATTGCTGGTTATTAACATAGGAGCCTTCCCATAGGGCTGCCTTATGACATGGCAGCTAACTTCCCCCAAGGCAGGTGATCCAAGAGTGCAAGAGAAAGAATGCCCTAGACGGAAGCCGTGGTCTTTTTATAACCTGATCTTAGAAATTGCATCCCATCACTTCTGCCATATTCTGTTTATTAGAAGCAAGCCAGTTAAGTGTCCAGCCCACACTCAAGAGGAAGTGATTGTATAAGTGTCAATACCAGGAAGTGGGAATCACCAAGGGCTTATGACAGTTTTTTAAAAAATATTTGTTTCCTTCTTACTCCTCCATATTTTCTAACATGCTTATTTTGGATATATATGTGTGATAAGGAAATGAATATGTTAAAAGCAATAAAATTGAAGAGAAATCATTCATTTATCAGAATTGTTGGGGTTTTCTTAGTAAGACAATTGAATTGATTGAAGATAAGATTTTTTAATGATCTTCCTGATCACATATTAGATCATGTCATGAATCCAAGTCTAGGATCATTACTCTAACAGGGTTCTGAATAGCTTGCAAATTTTTGCATTGATAAATTGAAATGACAAAAAAAGAAACCCTGATGGTAAGACAAAGACACCCATCTTTCTCAATTAACTAACAGCCTCCTTCTTGCTCTGTTCTCAATAGTATGCTTGATAGTTCAAACCGGCTTGATGAAGAACACAGGCTGATCGCCAGGTATGCAGCAAGACTGGCAGCAGAGTCCTCTTCATCTGTAAGTACTTTGAACGAGAGCATCCATCTCCTATGGTGGCATCTCCTATGTGAAATTAATTGTCATCATTATAGATGGTGTAAATTACCTGCACAATTTGTGCTTATTTATTATTTGTGTGTCTGTTGCTTTATGGTATCTTGGTGAGAGTTCCCACTCTAAAAATGGCAGATTTAAAGACCAATACCATCCATGTGACACTGTGATCAAGCTGGAAGCCCCACATCCAACTTTACTCAGTCCCTGTCCCCATGTGAGGACCAGAGAAAGAGGCTAAGGAATGGTTATGGTTCCTTTAATGGGTCTGAAGCAGGTGTGTTTAGGGAATACACTAGTTTTAAGGCAGGACAGCTTTAAGTAATATTTAAACTATCCTACTTAGGACAACAGGGATGATACCTCTCTCCATTTGCTGCTTTCTCTAAAACAAAAACAATCAATCTGACATCTTTATTCAGAATTCACCTGTGCTGAACTGAGGGTGAACTGTGATGGGTGCATTACAATGGATTGCAGGGGAGCAAGCAGGAAGCTGTGGTCTTCCCCCTCTCACAGCAGATGTCCTTCCTGCAGAGCATCAGCTAATGATCCTGGAGGGGAGCTATATAATGACCCACTGTGTTAGCTCCATCACTTGCACTCTGTTCAGATCAGTGACTGTGACACAGTTAAAAACCAACATGGTCAAGGTGAGAAGGAGTCTGGGTTAGGCTAAAAAGTTTATGGCCCAAAAATCCAGCACAGAGAAAAGAGATATGATTGGAATGTGTAAAACCTTAAATCTCAGTCATTTGGGAATATGGGAGAATGAGAATTTAGTAGTGATCCCTTTAGGGGACACTTGAAAGGAGAGAAAAGACAAGTTTCTGTCAAAACCTTTCTCAGTTTTCCTGTCCTCCTCCATGCACATACCTCTGTAGACAGATAGTGTGATATAATGAGATATGAGATTACCAGTGTGAATTTGTAAATTGGAGTTCCAGCCCTCTTATGATCTCATATAAAGCACTCTCTTTTTTCAGTTCAATCTCCTCTTCTCTAAGGAGGAACAATTATAATTATTATACTTGCCAGTCAGTCTGTTATGAGGGCCAAATGAGATAATAAAATGTATGAAAGTGGTGAATAAACCAGAGGTCACAAAATGCCATCCCACAGACTGAAATTGTCCCACAGAAATTTTGTTTGGCCTTCACAGTGTTTTTCTATTTTAACTGTCAGCATTTACAAATCAGGTGATTTCCTTAAAACTCTGATTTTTGGTTTACTTTGAAACAGTAACAAGACCTAGTCCTCATTCCACATGGCAACAAACCACAGTTTGGACAGGGCAAGTGTTCACCTCTTTGCCAAGCTGGTCCTGCTTAATCACTTTTGGCCCCTTTTGACATTTGAATTTGTGATCCCTGATGTGGATGCTAAATCTCTATGCTTATGTCATTATTAACTTCTTCAGTCTCCGCTTCCATTTCTTTCTCAAGAACATTAATTACTAGTGTTTCTTGCCTACTTATATTATCATACATAACCTCTATGGATCCGTCATAGGGAAGATACCATTCATACATTAATTTGAGTTCCTTTGTAAATCTCTTTATAATCACATATTAAGAATTGTATTATGAGCTTAATAAATCATAGTTAGTAAAATATTATCAAATTAGAAAAGAGATAGAGAGGTCATTCACTTGAACCTGTTTCTTTATTTTGTTGATGAAAATCTCGACATCTTTCCTCACTGTGCTCTTGTACTCAATCATTGCATTTCCTGTAACATCCCATCTTCCCACACTTACCTTTCCATGGCCTATGCTCTAGCTATTCTCAAATCCACCATGTTGAAACCTGGAATCCACTTACCCACTGCTTCTCCATTCCCACTTAATTTACAACCACCATCAGCACCATCAAGATGATTCTGACTTAATAGTTCAGCTCAAATGTCATCCTCACTATTTCCTCATCGATTACTTAAATGATTTAACTTTTTTCCTCTGTACACCTATTGAATCATCTACAGTAAAACCTACAAAAGCCAGAACCTGTATAAGGCAGAAACCTGTTAGAGAAGGAAAACTCAAATATTTGCCACTGAAACAAGTGATAGAAAAGTGGTAAGCCTGCACCCCGTCAAAGGTGGAAAACTTGTGGGACCTGGAAAACAGGACAGTCCCAGCTCGCACGCATTTCACTGTACATACTTTACTCATAGTAGTTACTATGCCAATTATATTTGTCTGTAAAATCTTTGAGGACTAGACACATATATTTTTATATGACAGCTGGCACAGTACCTGTAACATAATAGGTTCTGAATAAAAGAAAATGTGCCGAATGGAAGACTGAATGATTCAATAATTTAAGAGTGACTTTACAGGTAAGAAAGTTTTACCTAAATGAGAACAGTACCTTGTCCTCAAATTTAAGATTTGAGTCTCAAACATTATGCACAAGACAATAAAATAACCAATGAATTCAGTGAAAATTTCAGTTGATCAAATTTGTTAATAGGATATAGTTAGAAAGCCATATCTAGTCTTTGAATGAATATCAGAAATCTCCATAGCTCATAATTATGAAAATGTTGTAAGCCCTTAACAGCCATATAAGGATATAATCTTGGATTTCTTAAAAGTCAAAAACTGAAACCTGGCTACACAGAAATTAGTGACCTCTGGGTCACTGCGACCCTGACCAGGAATCAGGCATAGGGATGGGAATAGGAAATCCACCCAATACATTTCATGTTTGTGATCTTGTCTTTGATGAGTACCGCTCTGAAAATCTCTCTTGCTCTCTCTCTCTGGCTTTGCTATCTCTATTTTTGTCCATGTCATCAATTAAAAAGGTAACCATAATTACATGTGTGAAACATGCTGACACATAGTAAGCACAGACAAATGACACATCTCCTTTCCTCCTTTGTCTTTCTGCCTCCATTTTTACCTCCTGCCTCTCTTCATCGGCCTGTGATTCTTTTATCTCCACCAAACTTAAATCTCTCATTGTTCTTCCCACTTGCTTTTTCTCCCAATAAGGACAATTATGGTGCCTAAGGCACTTGACTGCTAACCAGAAGGCTGGTGGTTCAAACCCACCAGCCATTCCTCGGAAGGAAGGTTGGGCAATCTACTTCCGTAGTGATACTTCTTCAGAAACCCAAGGAGGGGTCGCTATGAGTCAGATCCGACTCGATGGCACATAACAACAACAACAACAACCTACCATTTATTATGTGTTGTATGTATTGACTACTTTTAAACTCTTAGCCCTAATTTTAAAACAAGTAAGTTAGATGCTGTGTATTTTTACTCTTCAAAGAAATGCATTGTTTCTTATGTTTATGACTTGATGTTGGCAACAATCTATTAAAAAAATAAAATAAATACAATTCTTAACTTTTTTTTTTTTTTTTTGCTAGTTGTCTCAATATCTTTTTTAAAAATTTTTATTGTGATCTGGGTGAAAGTTTACAAAGCAAATTCATTTTCCATACAGCAGTTCATACACATTTTGTTTCATGACATTGACTGCAATTCCCCACAATGGAACAGCTCTCTTCCCAGGTCCTCTCCATAGTTACCTCTTCCCTGTGCCCTGCCCTCTCCTGCACTCCCATCCCCCACAACTGTCTACCTGTCCAAACACTGCCCTTCTGTTCTCCCATGATTTATCAATTGATCGCTCCAAGGAGTGTGTCTAACTGATGTAAATGTTCACCCCATATGCCTTTCTGTTTTTTCGCTGGAAGCCACAAGAGTGAGTTCAGTTGCAGACCTGAAGGGTAACTAGGAGCCATAGTCTCAGGGGTCTCACCAGGCTCTACCAGACCAGCTAACCTGGTCTCTTTTTTTATGATTTTGAGTTTTGTTCCACATTGTTATCTTACTCTATCCAGGATCCCTTGCACCAAACCCCCTCTGAATGTTTGACAGTGGTAGCCAGTCACCATCTAGTTCTTCTGGCCTCATGGTCATATAGGCTGAGGATCCCAGGGACTACCAGTCCCTTAGACTACTTGTTTCCATGTGTCTTTGGTTTTCTTCAGAATTCTTAACTCTTGATGGGGCAGCAAACTAGTTTGGGCCATATCCAGTCCATTTTTTGACCCATGAGCTAAGAATATTTTTTACATTTTTTAATGAATGAAAAAAAAAATAAAAAGAGAAATAATATTTTGTGACGTGTAAAAATTACATGATATTTAAATTTCAGCGTCATAAAGTTTTATTGAAACACATACATTGCCATTTCTTTCCATATTATCCACGACTGCCTTTGTGCTATAAAAGCTGAGCTGAAAGATTGCTACAGAGACCATATGGCCTGCAAGGCCTGAACACTATCTGGCCCTTCCACTGCTTCAGTTTCTTTCCCACTTTTCTGCTCTTGTTCAGTATGGCGTAAATCACAGCATTAAGATATCCTGTTAAAATACCGTGGAGCCAGCCCAACACCTGATTTCTTTGGATAATTTCTGATCCATTAATATAAAGAACAAAGCAATGACTCAAATCCACAACTGGATCAGATAAGTTTCTACTTCTTCTTAATATGTAAAATGTATGCATGAAAGAAGGCATCCTGGTGGTGCAATGGTTAAGCATTGAGCTGCAAACGAAAAGGTTGGCGGTTCCAACTCACCAGCAGCTCCACAGCAGAAAAGATCTGGCAATTTGCTCCCATAAAGTTTACAAACCAGAAAACTCTGTGGAAGAGTTTTACTCTGTAACATGGGGCTACTATGAGTTGAAATTGACTTGACAGCATTTAACAACAACAACATGCATGAAAGACAAAATCATGTAATGAAACCATAAGAAGAGCTTGGATCAGAGGTCAAATCTGCCAAATCTCCATGACAGACATAGCTATAAAACATGGGAGCTCAAAGTTCTTCATTACCAACATAAATCATTTCTTGATTTAAAAAAAAAAAAAAAAAAAAATCCAATTAAAAAATCACAGAAAACTATGAAAATCAGAACTTTGCAAAGTCTAACCTTTCCTACAATTAGGTTTCTGAACATTAAAAACAGGCTGTTTCTCCATGTCTTTTGACTTAATAACTTGGCTTTCTTTGGAAGAAAGATGGTGACTTTTTTTTCATTTGATTTACAAACAAGAAAAATTGACTTAAAAGAATGTCCATAATGTACTATAGAAATGAAGAAAGCAGGATGCAGAGAAGTAGACAGAATCTTTTACCACATATTTGTAAAAAAAAAAAAAGGACAAATAAACTCTTTTTTTCAAATTTTTTTATTGTGATGTGGGTGCAAATTTACATGGCACATTCGTTTTACTCACAACAGTTCATACCCATTTGGTTTCATGGCCCTGATTACAGTCCCAACCATAAAAAGCTCTCCTCCCATCTCTTCCCTGTGACTAGCCCTTCTCTGTGCCCTTCTTATCTGTGCATTCCTGTCTGGCCAGCTTTCCCCTGTGCAGATGCTGCCCTTCTGATGTCTCATGACTGATTGATCTAGGGGCTGCGGCTCCCTACAGAAGGTGGTGCATCACGCTGTTCTGCCTGTAGGTCTTTCTACTCTTTGGCTGAGAGCTAATCCATAGAAATGAGTCCAGTTCCAGGCCCGAGGATAGCCGGGGCCATAGTCTTGGGGGTTCCACCAGTCTCTATCTACCAGTAATTCTGGTCATTTTTGTGTTTTTTAATCTTGTTCCACCTTTTCCCTCCCAGTCTATCCAGGATCTCCAATTTTGATGTCTTCCCAAGTGGTTGACATTGGTAGCCAGGTACCATCTAATTCTTCTGGTCTCAGGGTCATAAGGCTGAAGGTCCTTGTAATCCATCATATTCTTGGATTTATTGTTAACAAAAGATTTTTATTTTCTTCACTCTTCTTTGCTCCAGATGAGGGGAGACCAATAGTTGCATCTTAGATGGCTGCTTTTAAGACCCTGGTCACTACTCACCAAAGTAAGATATAGAACAAGATTTTTATGTACTATGTTGAGCCAATTGAGCATAATGTCCCCCGAGACTATGATCCTGAGCCCACAGGCGCAATGACTCTCTCCCTTAAGATGTTTGGCTGTCTCTAAGAAGCTACTCCAACCTTGTCTCCTGTTACTTCTATACTGTATATGGATATATTTGTTGCACAAGTACACATGTAAGACTATCTTCAGCCAAATCTGTCCTTGGCCTTGGATACATTCCTGTTCACCTACCCACACCTGCTCTTCTCACCTGTCTCTGCATTCACTCATGCCCTAGTGTTTGCTGCCACTTTGATGCAATATTGTGCATGTAACAGTATTTGCCTCTGTTGTCTATATTTTTTGTCCTCCTTTTCTCTATTGACATTGTGCTGGTCACACACTTTCATTATATTGCCTTACCAAAACAGACAAATAAACTCTTGATTAAACATGTATATACATATTTAGAGTGGCATGGTATAACATGATATATGTGATTAAAGGAGAATGTAGAAGGCTATGACTGCAGGTACACCAGTTGTTAAAGCTGGCTGCATGACTAAGAATGATGGGGTGGTGTGGTATGAAAGTATATGAAGCAAATATGTATATGAATCCTTCAATGTAAAATTACATATATGTGGTTGGGCAATCCTACTTCCGTAGTGATACTGCCTCGGAAACCCAAGGAGGGGTCGCTATGAGTCGGGGCCGACTCGACGGCACATAACAACAATAAAGAAATGCACAGATGTTGACCAAAAGTGAAGAAATAAAATCTTATTAGCTATAACTTAAAAGCCTATGACATTTGTAATTATATATTACACTGACTGAACAATAATTCCAGAGAAAGAGTTACCTCAACAGAAAAGCTTTTTTCCAACCTGACTATAGGGAAGAGAATCATTACCTCAGGCCAGTATGGCAGTAATTAAATAGCTTCCCAAAGACTTCAAGACAGAAAGTTGGAAAGCAATTTTTCCTGTGCTTTGTGTATCTGCTTGCCAAAGAATTCTGCTCTGCTTTCCATTGTCTATATATGCTCCATATTTGCAGGAAAGGTCATCCTTAGGTGGGGGATGGAAATTTGATTTTGTATTGTTTGGGAAGAAATAGTTTCCGTATCCTTGTCTGCACATCTCATGATTCCTGTCTTCTCAGATATACGTGGGTTTTCATTCCCAATATTAAATAGTATAACCCACATGTTTTACAGCAGCCAAGTCAGCAGAGAAATGCTCCTGACATCTCCTTCACCATTGATGCAAATAAGCAACAAAGGCAGCTGATTGCAGAACTAGAAAACAAGAACAGGTAAGAATTTTTTAGACAAGTTAGCTTCTTAAATCACAGTGTGCATTCATTAGGAGTCCCTGGATGGTGCAAAGAGTTAACACACCCAATTACTAACCAAAAGATTGAAGGTTCAAGTCCACCCACAGAGTGCCTTGGAAGAAAGCCCTGGGGAGCAACTTCTGAAGTCAGCCACTGAAAACCCTAAAACTCCATGGTGCACAGTTAGTCCCACTCTGACACACATGGGGTCTCCATGAGTCAGAATTGACTTGGCAGCAACTGTTCCCTGCTGTATTCATTAACAGACATGTTTTCAAACATCTGGGAAGTAATAATCTTCACACAACTCAGATTGCACTAACAGCCCTCATCTCTTTCACTCTGCTATTACCCTTCTTTATATCCATCTGTCCTGATATGAAGAGTAAAGTAAGAGGTTAGAGGTGCAGAAGGAGGAAAAGAATGTCAAGGTCAAAGAGAGTCATTTTACAATAACAGAAAAGCAGGTCAAACTTGCCTGAGTTTCCACAAGTTTCAGCATCTCTCCTCATTCAGTGTCACTCCTTAGAAGAAGACCAAAAGTAAAAACTCACAAGCCCATAAGTATCTTATCTTGGTGGCAATGTTAACCCTACTCTTCTCCCTCTCCAGAAAACTTTGTTCTCCCTTCCTATCCTCTCAGCTTCCATTCACATGGGGGTAGAACCCTGGAGGGGAAATCAGGAATTCCTTTGGGGAAATATCACAGGATATGTGCCCCTATATGAATCTATTTCCAAATACAGACAAGTGATGGCTATGCCACAATACCGTTCTTACTCTTACACTCATCTTTCCTGGGACTTTTGGGATTGTTTCTCAGCTTTCTCAGCTCTTTTTAGAGCCAGACAAAGAAAAAAGAAATTGAGATGAAAGGAAGAGAGTTTTATCCTGTCTCTGAGTTCATTCGTGGCTCCTAGGGTTCCCCACCCCATCCCTAAGGAGTCCATTCTAAACTCATCTCTCTAAGCTAGCAGCCTCATACTCTCCAGGGACCCCACAACCATGTCCCAGAAGTTTCTGTAAGTCACACTCCTGCACCATGGAAACTCACCTCAGGGAGTCCCTTCGTCTCCACGGTGATAGTTAAGTCAATAATCAGGTCTCTGAGCTTAAAGGGAAGATAAAGTTCCTCGTATCCATTTCAGGACTCGTCTACCTGGGTAATTCATGGACATTTCACTAATGACCTTTAGAAGATAATGTTTCCTTTAGCACCCTTGGAGGAATTCTAATACTTGGAGGAGCACATCAGAGTTATTATTAGGAGCAGCAAGACTTTTCAAATTACATTGACCTGTCAAAGCAAAGACAAGAAGATTGAGGCAGTCTGATATACACAGGCTACAGAGCTAGCCAGCCTGAGTTCAAATCATGTCTTATCATCTACTTGGCGAGTCATTTAACTGGTCTGTGTCAGGCTTTCCTCACCCATGAAATAGAGATAATAATAATATCTTACATGTAATAAAATTGTTGCAGGAATTCAAAAATAAGATTAAATAAGACAGCACAATTTCTGCGTAAAGACTAAACACTCAATGCATATTATGTATCTTATAATTACTTTTTCTTACCAGGGGTATTTTTCTCTTTTCCTTTGTTGGGCTAAATGGCTAATCTCTCATGGTTCTGACCTTAGAGCCAACAAGGAGAACTACCAGGAACCATAGAATGTGGGGATATTATCCCTGTCCACTGGTTTCCAGGCTAAATCCTGGGGGCTCTGTCATGCCTCAGAGGGCACTGAAGAAGGGTAAAAGAGCTTAAAGCGGAGAGACCCACACTTTCTTTAATTAAAGCAGCTCCCTCTCAACTATGAGATGTCTTGGGTTTCCATGAAAGATTTATTTTAAAGAAAGATCCCCACCATGGAACATCAAAGAGGACAAAAAAAAAAAAGAAAGAAAACAATTGAATTATAGTTCAACCTTCTCACTGTACCTTGAGAGGTGTAGTGACTTACTAGTAACTAGCCTCCCAAGTCTGGTGTGTGTTTGTGAAGCAGGCCATTGTAAATAAACCTTTTAAATGGACAGCCACACACCCCTGCTCATTCCATTCACTTTTTATTCATAGTGCTTTGTTCTGTCTTATTGGTTCTTATGTGTTTTGTTGGATGGGAGACTCCACCCACACACACACACACACACCAAGAATAAGTGACTTGTAACCTTGCTTAAAGGCTGCTGACTCACTTAGGGATAATTTGCCTTGCCCAGGTCACATCTCCTTTGTGGTTGACCTAATGTTCACCTGACTGTAGGACATCCTAGGCTCCAACATCAATAATAGCCTGACATGTCTCACCCCTGGGAGAGGTCATACCAATAACACTCTTATGTCACAGACTCAATTACAGTGAATCCTTTTAAAAGCATATCCCTTCTAAGGCTACCCTTGTTGAGATCCATAGTTAAAAAACAGTTAGAAACTGTTAAACTAAAAGAGAAAGGGTTTTGCCTGACTAAGGGATTGTCGGATAAATTCAATGAGAGGAATTTCATTTTTCATAAGAGAATGGTGTTATTTAGTTCTGTGAAATGAATATTATTTACCCTTATTTTCCCTCAAAGCACCTCTTCACTTGGTAGCTTCAGCTACTTTATTGTGTCAGAGTGTGGTCATAACAGGCAGGTACATTTTTGTCTCCTGAGCAGTGCACTCTTCAAAGTTGAACACATCACCACAGTATTACATTACTTACTATACCAAAAAACAAAACCAAAAAAACAAAAGAACGTCCTCCAGGTGATCCCAACTCATTGCAACCCTCTAGGACAGGGTAGAGCTGCCCCACAGCATTTTCAAGGCTGTAAATCTTTATGGAAGCAGACTGTCACATCTTTCACCTTCAGAGCAGTTAGTGAATTCAAACTGCTGACCTTTCAGTTAGCGGAAAAGCACTTTAACCACTGTGCCAACAGAGCTCCTATCCCTTACTGTAGTGACTATCCAAAAAAATGCAAACCAGTTTCCACTGAGTTCCAACTCATGGCAAGCCCATGGGTGACAGAGTAGAGCCTCACTCCATAGGGTTTTATTGCTGTGACCTTTCAGAAGCAGATCTCCAGGCCTATCTTTTGAGGCACCTGTGGATGGGTTCAAACCACCTACCTCTCAGATAGTAACCTAACACTTAACCATTTGTACCTCCCCAGGACTCTTACTCAAGAGACTAGGTCCTGGAAATCATACTTGGTTTGATGGCTCCAGCTACACCCTTCAGAATCTTCATGGTTTGGATGTACTTAGAGCATATACCTACAGCACCCAATAGCCCCAGTCATGAGCACAGTGAATGTGTTGATTAGTGAGGGTCGTTTCTGCCCCTAAACATAAGATGAGCCCTTCTTTCTTCGCTCTGACCCTGATCTGCTCAGATGTTAGTATCTTGAAAGTTAACTGACCCTGGTTTTATCTTTCCTCCTCTTTCCTAAGAGAAATCTTACAGGAGATCCAAAGGCTGCGACTAGAGCATGAACAAGCTTCTCAGCCCACCCCAGAGAAAGCACAACAAAACCCCACTCTGCTAGCAGAACTCCGGCTCCTCAGGTAAGAGAGGTGACCCAAGCTACCCCAGGGGGTATATGTATGTGAGATCTTTAATAAAGTCCAGTGTCTAACGGACTCTTAGCCATCATAAGCTGCTGACAATCATTTGCTTTCATTTTTAATAGCACACACCTAATTGCTATACTTTAGGGGAAGGATGTTTGTATTTATTCTTTCATTTGGTACAGAGGAAAAGAAATAGCAATTTCCAGATAATAAACAAGACATCTCACTGGAAAAAACTTGAACACAACTCTTTTTAGTTATTTGCACTATCATCAATGGGCTTATGATAATAAATGATCAACAGAACAAATACATAAAAAGCTAAATGACTTTTTATTAAAGTTATTAAAAACCATCACAGTTTTAAAAGTTTAAAATTTACCTGTAAACTCATAAAGAGGAATCTAATGATTTCTTCATCTTTGGCCATAAAAATTCTGTATACAGATCTTAAAAAAAAAATAGGCCCCATACCTTGTATTTCTGCAAAGGAATTAAAAAGCCTTAGTGTTTTTTGTTTTGTTTAGTATTGTCTAAGGAACCTGGTGGTACCACAGTTAAGCATTTACTTAGCTGCTAACTGAAAGGTCAGCAGTTCAAACCACCAGCCTCTCCACGGAAGAAAAGACCTGGCAATCTTCTCCTGTAAAGACTTCAGCCTAGAAAACTCTATGTGACAGTTCTACTCTGTCCTGTAGGGTCACTATGAGTCCGAATAGACTCAATGGCATACAACAACAGTGTTGTCTGGTGTGTCATCCTAAAAGATTAGAACCGGAAGGGACCCTAGATGATCATCTGGTTCAACCCCTGAATTTCAATGTGCTTCTCAGAGTCAAAAGCTGGGAGGGAGCAGTGTTTAGATGAGGACTGGGTTCTTCCCACTGCTGCAAAATGAAAGTCTTATGTGGGCACTAAAGTGTGTTCATCTAAGTAACAACCCAAAAAGTAAACTCAAAGACATTCCCTCATAGAAATGTCATATTGACCTTTCACAAGGCACTTTTTGTTGTCAAGTCTTACTTTTTTTGCATCCTGCAATTTGGGTGCCAGTTTCACTCTAGGAATATCTGAGTCGGACTTTTATAGTACATACAGATTCCTCCTCCCAGAGACCCTTGATGATATTGCCATTAATGCCACTACAGGAAGGCATGAAAGGATGAGAATGGCACACTGAGCTAGCACACAGGATGAGCCTGTCAAATCTGACTCACATGAAATCTTTCTCTAGCATTGACCTTTACTAAGAATTTCACAGATACAGGTAACCAGAGGCACAGACAAAGCAGAGAGAGGTCTGGAAAATCCCCAAGATCTCCCCTCCTACATTGAATGACATCTCCAAGGAAAGTTTTTTAGAGTGATCTAGGGAGCCATATGCAATACCTCAGATCTCTCTCAGCTTCATTTATTCCTCTGGTTGCCAGCATCCTTGAAATTTTTAGTAAAGCAAAATACTGATTCACTGAGTCTGACTTGACAATCCAATCCTATGTGTTACCTCACTTACACAAGTACAATTCAGGAGTGCTAAATGCCATGACAGCATGACTGATAGGGAGAGGATAGCACAGATGGAAAAGGCCTGGCTCACTGGAATAGGAGAAAAGTAAGCACAGACTTCACACAGGACATCAACTTCAAGCACAGATTAGGAAGAACAATGCAGATACCATGTAAGAAGATATGAAAGGGTAATTCTCATGGAGTACTTTGAATGTTGTAAGTAGATAGGAGTGGGTTAGAGCATTTGTTGGGGGGTAGTAGGAGTTGGTAGCATAGTGCCTAAGGCACTTGACTGCTAACCAGTAGGCTGGCGTTTCAAACCTACCAGCCACTCCTTAGAAGGAAGGTTGGGCAATCTACTTCCGTAGTGATACTGCCTCAGAAATCCAAGGAGGGGTCACTATGAGTCAGGGCCAACTCGACAGCACATAACAACAACAACAGTAGGCGTTGGGGTGAGACTAGTGAATGATGGTGATAAGACTTGCAGAGGTAATACAGAGACCATACCACTCAACAATGTGAGGACCACACAAAGTGGTTTGGACAGACTTGTGTGCAAACTTTATATACCCTGGGAAACCTTCCTGACCTTGTAACACCACATAGAGCTGACTTTCTCCTCAGTATTACCACACATAACATTTTCTTATCCTTATTTTATACTCATCATCTTTGTTTTGAACTTACTGGGGTTTCCTTGTCTCTCACCTAAGGACATGAAGTGTATTCAATCCATTGTTTTACTTCTAGCATCTTAAAACATAGAAGAGCTCACAAATGTTTCTGCAATGAATAATTGAACTGTGAAACTATTAAAAGACAACTGTATTGTTAAGATAGCTAAACATAGGAGGTGAACATTTACATTAGGTAGATGTACTCCTTGGAGAGAACAGTCATGGGAGAATAGAAGGGTTGTGTATGTACAGGGAGACAGCTCGGGGAGCAGGAGTGCATGGAGGGAAGGACACAGGGAAGAGGTAACTATCGGGAGGAAGTGGGAGGGGAGTTATTGCATTGTGGTAAATTGTAGTCAATGTCATGAGACAAAGTGTATGTGAGCTGCTGTATGGAAAGTGAATTTGCTCTGTAAACTTTCACCCAAATCACAATTAAAAAAAAAAAAAAAAGATACGTAAAGAACTGTATTTGCAAAGAGAGTACCATCTGTTGTAATAAAAAAACATTTACTGAAACTGAAACAAGTAGCATCACACGAGAAACCTCAAGTAAAACAAGTTTAATTTGTTCATATCTATTCCTTGTTAAAAAAAAATCAGCATAATTTTCTACATAAGAAAAACATTAACCAATGCATATAAAATTATTCTTTGAGAAAACTTGTTAGAAGAAACTTGTTATATCAGTTTGTTTTTTTATTTGTTTTTACCAAGTAAAAATGGAATTGTAATCTGTGATGAAAGTCTGTGGTTTTTAGACTTTTGAATTTCATAGACTAAACTTCATAGTTTAAATTTCTTTTTTATTTTGAGAAACAACATAAAATTGAGTACTTGTTTTTGCCTTATAATGAAACTTCAGAAAATTACCAACATCTGTCATAAATGACAGTGTATATATTTTTTACTTTTTTTAAATTTCAAGCCTACAGAAAAGTGGTAAAATAGTATAATGAATTTCCTTCTACCCTCACCTGGAGATGCACATTTTGCCAAATCTTTCTCTATCTCTTTCTGTAAATGTTTATATATGTAAAGTACATTCATATTTTGATAAGTTGCAGACATCATTACTCTTCACTCCTAAATATTTAAATGTATATTTTCTAAGGATAAAAATATTCTCCTATATGTTGTTATTAAGTGCTAATGAGTTGGTTCTGACCCCTAGTGATCCTATGTGCCATTTTCACAATCTGCCACGCTTGAGCCCATCATCACAGCACTGTGTCATTCCATATGGTTGACAGTCTTCCCCTTTTTTGATGACCCTCTACTTTATCAAACATGATCTTCTTCTCCAGAGACCAGTCCTTTCTGATAGCATGACCTAAGTACATAAGATGAAGCCTAGGAATTCTCACTTTTAAAGAACATTCCAGGCTTACTTCCTCCAAGACAGATTTGTTTGTTCTTCTAGCAGTCCCTGGTACATTCAATATTCTTCACCAACGTCACAATTCAAATGCATCAATTCTTCTGCGGTCTTCTTTATTCATTGTCCAGCTCTCACACACATATCAGGCTATTGAAAATACCATGGCCTGAGTCAGGCATGCCTAAGTCTTCAAAGTGACATCTTTGCTCTTTAACACTTCAAAGAGGTCTTTACATTCTCCTGTATAGCCATGGTAAAAAAACAAAAAACAAACCAAACCAGTTGTCACTGAGTCAGTTTAACTCATGATGACCCCAAGTGCTTCAGAATAGAACTGTCCTCCAGAATAGAACTGTGCTCCCCAGGGTTTCAAGGCTGTGAGCTTTTGGAACCAGATCACCAGGCTTTCTTGAGAATACCCATCTAATTCAGGAGAGTTAACATTTATATGTACTATTATCTAATTGAAAGTTCTTATTCAAATGTTTCCGATTATCCCAACACTGTCCTAAAAGAAAATGTTTTAATGCACATACATAAGTAGCAAAAATCTGACAAAATTTCAAAATAAAAGGCTTTCCATTAAAGATGAATAAATTTAGCTTATAGAAAAAAAAAATCACTATTTAGTCCTTGTTTGCTTATTCCTCCTTGGAACAGTGGCAGCTACATCACAGACTTGTTCTCAAACCCACATTTGGTAACCACTTGTGTAAACACTTACAAGACTGAATAAGAGCATTATTAAATAAATATGTTTCTTAAAAAAAATTGAATTCAATCAAATGCTTAGAAGAGTAAATGTGATGTTTTAGACATGCATAAGATAAATAAATTTTTAAAAAATATTTAATAATTCTAAATTAAGTAAATTTCTCTGATAATTTGTAGATGCCTCTGTGTCTTTTGCTATTTAGAATGTTCCTTTGACCTTCCTTCCAAAGTCTGACTGTAGCCAAGAGGCCAAAAATTATAGAGCAGTATCTAGAAGACTATTGGATAAAAACCAGAAGCATTTTGTACCTTGGACAAAACCCTATAGTGTATGTACTTGAAATACCATATGCAGACCAAAAAAAAAAAAAAAAAAACCCAAACTCACTGTCATTGAATCAATTCCAACTCATATCCCCATTGGGTTTCTGAGGCTGTAAATCTTTACAGAAATAGATTACCCCATCTTCATTCTGCAGAGTGGCTGGTGGGTTTGAACTGCTGACCTTCTAGTTAATAGCCAAATGTCATATCCACTATGCCAGCAGAGCTCCTTTCATGTGCAGACAAGTCAAAGAAAACCAGCTAATGGGTTTGTCACTGAAGAGTATTTTTAAATGGGGCAAGATTTTCAAAACTGGAATGTTTCAGGCTAGAAAAACAAAAACTAAAATTAGATCCCATTAAAGCCTATAAAATGATGATGTTACTCATCCTGTGGATTCAAAAAAGAGACAATTGTAGAAGAAATCAAAGGAAGGAGTTCTTTGGTAATAAATCATAAGTAGCAATATAATCTAAAAATATAACAATATTGAAAAGAATTGATGCATTTATAAATTTAAAACTTATAAATCTTTATAGAGAAAGCCTATATGAAGACAGACCAGAAATGGTTCATTTATATCCCTAAACTGTCCTCCCACAAAATATCTTTCAATTGTGTGTCATTGACCTAATTCAGTGTGACACTTTTATACTGTCAGTTTTCCATTTCAGGGTCCCTGTATTCAATCCATTGTTTTATATCGATGCAATTGATACTAGACATATATATTCGTACATTAATATAAAAACCAAACTCACTGCCATTGAGTAAACTCCAATCCATAGCAACCCTATAGGACAGAGTAGAACTGCCCCATATGATCTCCAAGGCTGTAAATCTTTATGGAAGCAGACTGCCACATCTGGAGCAGCTGGTGGGTTTCAACCACCAACCTTTTGGTTAGCATCTGAGCACCTCAGCTACTGTGCCACCAGGGCTCCTGTACATTAATGTATACATGGCTAAAGCATCCACCCATTTTTAGAATATAAATTCTAATATTTCAAACTCAGATGCCTTGGGGGCAGGGGGAAAAAAGTGTATATATTACTTGTTCTCTAATGGTCATGAAGTAATGTATTTGAAATTGCTTGGAAATGTATATATATATACTTTTCACAAACATGAGCTATTAATATTCTTCTCCATATTATTTCATTTTTCCCCCACTTAAAGATAATTTTAGTACCTCTTAATGTCAACATAAATGATAGATTATAGAGTGTCCTTAGTGGTTTCCATTCTTACTGACAGTTTAATAGAAGTTTTACAAAACAAAGCAAAATTAAACACAAACCCTATCAATCACTTTCAGTCGTAGAACAATTGTATAGAAACATATTTATTCTGTTTTCATTATATGAACCCAACCCAAATGAAAAAATTTCTATTGATTGCAATAACTATATATTGTTAGTATTTCACCTCAGAAAGGCAACATGTTGCATAATAAGCCTGGAAGGTATTCCAGATGCACTTTTCTAGATAAGATTTTCAAATACTGAGGCAATAGGTATTTTCAGGTAGTCTTATGAAAGAGTCCTTGGGTTTGGAGAATCTGTAGCAATTGCCTTTTCTGTAACAGTTTGGTTTTTGTTTGTTGTCTCAAGGGAATCCAGGGCACAGCACAGGGCCCACTACGTAGTAAGCATTCAGGAAATGTTTCATGAGTGAGTAATTAATTCATGGATTTCCTTGTTAGTTGCTAGCCAGTTGGTTCTAATTCATGGCACCCTTATGTATAACAGACCTGCACCATCCTCACCGTCATCCGTATGTTTGAGCCCATAGTTACAGCTGCCATGTCAATCCATCTTGTGAAGGGTTTCCTTCATTTTTGCTGACCTGCTCCTTTACCAAACATCTTTTTCTAGTGATTGATCTTTCCTGATGTCCAAGGTAGACAAGATGGTCTCATCATTCTCTCTTCAGGGCAGAATGGGGGAAACATCTAAAAGGATTTAAATCAATTTAAGTTGTGTAATTGAAGTGTGTATTTAAGTTTCATTTTAACAAATGAAAGTACATCTCATGCTATAATCACTCCCTCATTTGATGGCAGTTCCCTACCTGTCAAACTCAGAGATGGTCTTTTTTTCTGATAATCAGGTAGTCTCACAAGAGTGGGAACTGTGATTAGCCTCAGTGAGTTGAATGCTGTTTCTGTTAACAGTTGCTTCTTTCTTAGACAGCGCAAGGACGAGCTGGAACAGAGGATGTCTGCTCTCCAGGAGAGCCGGAGAGAGTTAATGGTCCAGTTAGAAGGGCTCATGAAGCTACTAAAGGTAAGACATTTCAAATTAACATTTCTTAGACATTTGAGGGTGATGTTTGTAAAATGTTTTTGCACATAATGTGCAATGGTTTTTCCTATTACTGCATGTCATTCCCCCCAAAATGTTGTTCCAAATTCAGACATAGAATGGTTTCTTAGGCACAGGAGAAGGCAGCCATCCATTATAGAGTTCATTCTTATATCTTTCCTGGAGCCAGATTGCTCAGAACCTTCTTGGGGGAACTTCTTCCTGGCTTATTTTCACTCCCTTTATGCCCTTAACATAAATAAAACTGAATTTGTTTAGAAGTATTTTACATTTCATAGTTTTCAGCAATTCTGAGTGGATTGAACAGAAGTGAATACTTAATTCAGAAAATCAAGATGTAGCCATTAAATAATCTTGGTGATTATAGTTTCATTAAGAGAAACAACTCTGTTAATTTCAGTAAAACATTTTATGTCATCTGTATGACTCTAGCAGCAAGGCACAGGATTTCTATGGGCCTCAAAGGAAAATTGTAATGAGTATATCTCTTCCCTTTTCTGTAGACTGAGTGTTTAATAAAATGATATCTACAAGTCCTTTGCAGAGTGCTATAATCTATCATTTTCATTGAGTATTGGCATTTGTCCTTTAAGAAAGCTGTATTCCCTTTTTCATTATACACAAAATTACATTTCAAGTCAAAATAGACTAATTATGGCCACACATCCACAGTCAGTCCAATAGAAGCAGCAATGCTGTGTGGCCATCCTTGTGTCATGCCTTATGTGAACAAGCATGAACCAGAATGGATTGGAACTGGAACATGCCAAAGGCACACTGATAGGAGAACAATGAAAGGAACGTCCCTGGAGCAGCTCAACTGTGAGACAGGGTGTCCTGGCTTTCAGCTCACAGACCCCCACATCCCTGACAAACCATCATCTGTTGTTACTGTGTTGTTCTTTCTTTCTTTCACTATTTCCCTCTGTTTTTTCTTGATTTTTTTTCTCTCATTTATTTATTTAACAAATATATATATACATATTTTAATTTGCTGCCTCAGGTACTGCTCTAAGTGCCATTATCCCATGTGTGATAGTGCTTTTGCTCCCCTTACTCTTTTTCCCTTTAGTCAACTTTTTCTGCCATCAATGTCTTTAACAATAAGTGTTAGAGATTCTTTTCCTTTATTGAACAAAATTTCCTTTTCAGTGTATTAGACATAACGTATAGAGTTCACTTTTGTTACTGTGCCATATATGGTGATACAGGACCAAACAATAAATAACCTACTGCTGTTTCTGGCTTACTCTCACTAAAGCTCTTTCTATTTCCTTTCCCAAATGTACCAAGCCAAGAGGACTGACCCCATCTTTCCCTTCACAGAATGGCAGGAAACTTTGAAACAGCTTCCTGTTTATGCTCCCCCAGCTTCTGTCATGATAGCAATGGGGTAGGAGTCAGTGTACCAGCAGCCATCTTGATTGACACCTAGTCCACCTGAGCCCAGCCTATTGTATCAGAATTTTCTAACACCAAGACAGAGAGAGACCATGTTGAAAGCTAGTCAGACACATGGAGGAATGAGATGGGTCTCAAATGCAAACTAAATAAACTTGGAACTATAGTCACTGGGGTGGCAGAGGCCTGATCTGTCCTCAGAGCCATGACAATTCCCCCCAACCCCCTTTCATTTCTTCCCACTATGTACATGCTTTTCTTGGAACCCTGGGTAATCTAACTCTTATTGATTCGATCTTTCTGTAGGAAGAAGAACTGAAGCAGGGAGTAAGTTATGTTCCCTACTGCAGGTCTTAACTAACAATGGAGGGGCCTGCCATCCTGCTGTTTTTCTCATTGCTTTTGCCTCTAATGTATGTTCATGCTTCAGTTTGGAAAGACAGAACAAATCATACTAATTTGCTTCCTTTTCAATGTAGTGCTTGAATTGAGATCTAGAAAATCAGCATTTTTTTGTAACTGTTACTACTGTTGGCATCAAAAGAAGAACTATTACACCTTTTAAAAGAGGGAACAAATTGTAATTTGTTTGGAACTCTCTAGATCTCCAGGGGTCTAAGTTTCAAACCAGTCTCATGTTTTTCTAGGTTGTTGATCAGACCCTTCTCTGAATAAAAGTCACCCATTGCAGTCACTGTAGCTACACTGAGGTAAAGTTTAGCTTTAAAACCTATAGCATTCAGAAGCTAGGAGCTCTGGTAGCATAGTGCCTAAGGCACTTGATTGCTAACCAGAAGGCTGGTGGTTCAAACCCACCAGCCGCTCCTCGGAAGGAAGGTTGGGCAATCTATTTCTGTAATGATACTGCCTCAGCAACTATGAGTCAGGTCCGACTCGATGGCACATAACAACAACAACAACAATTCAGAAGCTAACCTTTGCACCCTCTGAATATTGCTTCCATTTTAAAGAAAAGATGTGGAACCTTCTTTTATAAAAATCAGACAATTACATATTTGTTCATCCCATATGATTATGCCCTGTTCTCCACAGATTACCAATATGTGCTCAATCTTGGGGAAAAAAGACTGCCCTCAATAACTGAGTATTCACTTTCTGTATTTTAATTCTTCCCCAAAGCAGAATCCCTACCACTGACTGAGAATAATCTCTAAAGTATAGGTCATGTTCAACCTTTGTCTTATCATTAAGAACTTTTCTGTTCTGAGGGTTCCCAAGATCCTTGCACATATCTTCTCTGGAAATAAGGGCATTGGGACTCTAACCCTAGCCTATACTGGAGCCTTGTGTCTACTCCTGTGGTCAGGTTCAGAGCCAGCAGAGGGAGCAACATACTCAAAAAAATAAAATAAAATCGAACCAAATAAAAGCAGCTTTAATTTCAAGTGCATGTACCAAGTTGTGTATGAAAATATAGCCCCTTCTCTAGCATTATTTAAAAGTTTTACATTATGTCCATGGATCCATTAGAACTACAGCCTGTCCAATTTCAACGTATCTTTTAATTCTTCTGTATTCTCTTTTCTATTATTCATTGTGTGTGTTTGTGTGTAACAAAGACTGTTTGCAAAATGCTGAACACATTTTACCTTTCATTCCCATGGTATGTAAACAAGGAAAGTGTAAAACCAATCTGTAATGTCCAACAATAAAGACAATGTATTACATTATTTTGTATTTTGTGAAAAATATTACTTTATGAAAGTCAAATTTTGCTGAGAGACAGTTCCCCTGGGTGAAGGATACAACGCACTTCCAGCCTGTATAACTGTTCATAAATGCACACGTGGGGTGTTGTATTCGTACTTCCAAAACACTTAGATCATGGTAGGAGAAAATGCCTTCTTTGTGGTCCTTGTCTTTGCATATGGTCTCTCTTCTTTCCTGTCTCTTACTGACCACGCAGAGTCCCAGGGTGGGCAAATGGTTAAAGCACTCAGTGGCTGACCAGAAGGTTAGAGGTTCAAGTCCATCCAGAGCACAACAGAAGAAAGACCTAGCAATTGGCTTCTGAAAGATCATAGCCATGGAAAATCCTGTGGCTTCTCTGACACAGTAGAACAATCCCATAGTTCCACTCTGACACACATGGGGTTGCCATGAGTTGGCAACTGGTTTACTTAGTTTGTGCACAGAGAAAAGAAAATAATGCTCAAAGATAGCTTTCTTCCTCTGAAAAGGGAGAGAGGGCAATCCATTTGTACTCAGTAGGCTTTACTTCAGCCATTTTCCTTGGAGATCTCTTCCCTACCATTTCCCAGAAACATATTCTTCAAAAACTCCACAGGCTAAGGAGTTTATAATCAGGTGGTGCATAGAGCCAAACTATGCCCGTTTTCCTAAGGGCATTACTGCCACCTTTCCTTCCCAGTTTCTGTGTTTGGGGAAGGGGAACAGTACTGGGCACTGCTGCATCAGTGCCTAAGGCTGCAAGTAAGGGACCACCCCAGTGTTGGCAATGTATCATCTGGGTAGTGGGAGAGTTTGCCCATTTTGCTCATTTATTTATCTGATATTCAAGCCTCTGTCTATAAAGGGCTTGAGGCAGCTGACAACAAAATAGATAAACAGTGACTTTATTCATAAGGTGGAAATAGAAAAATCAAAAACCAAGGAAAATAAAATGCAAAATATGTTCATCATAAAGGACAGAAGTGTTCCTCTGAACTTTCTGGCAATGGTGCAAACAAAGAAAAACATAATCTGTGGTTTTAACAGAACAGGAATACCAATTCTCCAGGGACCAAAGTCCTTGCTGGCACATAATATAAAAGGAAGTCTTCAGTTGGAGTTTTACAGAAGAGTTTTGAACAATAAATGAACAAATGTACTAGCAGATTTCACATGGCTGTTTCTTAAGCTAACCTTTAGTCAAAGTTATAAGGAGAGCCCCAGAAATCCCATAGAAACCCCACATAGGCAGTTCTACAAAACATAAATAAACAAATAAACAAATGTCATTCAAATATATAGACTTCCAGGGGTATGACATGATCTAAGGAGAGAATTTAGAGGTTTTAGTCTGATATCTGCTTCTAAATTCTGCTTTTGTTTATGAGCTTTGTCCCTTTGGGGCCTTCATCTTTGTAAAAATCAAAGTTAAAACACCCCACACAACAAATTGTGCTTGATTTAATAACCTCTACTTGCTTTATCATAATTCTTTGTGGCTCAATGTAGTATTTTATTATACTGGCATATATAATTCCTATATATTTTGTTTCTTGTTAACTTAATGTATGAATTTATCTCCCTTGAGGAGAGAACATGACTAAAAAATTAGTGCCTGAAATATAATATGATGATTATGGAATCACAAGCAATAAATTCTTTTACAAAACTTGAATTGAAGTTATCCTACCCTCTTTCTTCTTTGTGTATTTTTAATATTTATCAAAAGAACCATAAACCGAATGCTCATAAGAAATTTAATAATGAAAGCAATTTAATTGCAGTGGCAGTAGACTTCAGGGTTTCTGGAATAGTTCCATTTTCAAATATTTTGTCTCAGTCTAAAACCAAGTATCGTGACCTTGACTTTGGAAATTAAAGCCTCAATAATAGTTTTCTTAGAAATATTACTGGAGGTAGACCTGAGTTCCAGTGGTACCAGCTCTCTACTCACCACTATAACATCTTAAGTCAGTCAATCACTCTCAGCTACTTCATTTCAAACATATTGAAGATGCCTGTCTCATATGGCTGTTGCGTAGATTTTTAAATAACAAATGTGAAAGCACTTCAATTTTTATATATTATATGAATGTCTGACATAAGTTTGAATATAGATTTATTAATAGATAGATAAGGGGTAGGTAAGTAGAGAAAGAGAGAAGTAAGTAGGAAACAGATGAGACAGAGAGAGAGATATACACATGAGTGGATAGTAGCTTTAAAATTTGACCCATATTTTACACAGTCACTCATCACTTCTCTTCCTCATGGTTAGCTAACATTGTCTCAACCATGGGAAGAAAATTCTCAAACAGATTCCCAAATTCTGTCTCTTGTTCCCCCATTCTTTTCTCTCTACTTACAACTGCTTGCCCAATTAACACAGGAAATTAAAAGTTCCTACTTCTAAACACATTATGGAATATGAGCTGCCTAGAAAAAAATTACCAGCTTGGGTTTCACCTTCTTTTATTTCCCCTGCTCATGCTCTCTGGTGGATAGTATATGGAGAGTGAACTAATCAAAAGTGACAAGGAGAGATATCCACTGCAGTATAAAGAACACCATTTAGTGATCAAAAACATGCTCTCCCAGTCTCTCTCACACATAATTATTTTCATTTATGGGATTGATTATGTAATTCAGAGAAGTAAAAATTATTCCCTGCTTTAAAACCTTAGAAAGCATCCCTCTACTTCAGGATAAAGTCTAAGCTCTGTGTATGACATTGCCTCTACCCCATCCCAGGCTTCTTTCCCTCCATGCCCCACAGCCAACCTGGTGCTTCAGCCAGACATTAGTCGCGGCCTCCTCCCCTCCACTATTTCTCCAGTACCCGTGGCACTTCCAGTTGTCTTACTCAGGCTATTCCAGAGGCGTAGAAAGCTCTTCTTTCCTCCAAATACTTCCTCTTACCTGGAAATATCCACCTTTAAGATCCAAGACAAATGACACCTCTTGACTGACCTCTCAGAAATTAATCACTTCATTTGTGGTCCACAGCACCTCATACACAACATTCACTCATAAATGCTTGACTCCATAAATTCTCATCAGTATGGTGATAGTCAGTCAATGTGAACTGGAAGAAATAATGGAACTAGGGTTGGATATAGCTGCATGTCCCCAGGCTGCTAAGGGCAGCTAGGCATGACAAGGCTATTAGCCTCACCTGGAAGGTGGGTTCTTTGAATCTGGAGGGTGCGGTGGGAGCATAGTGCCCCCTCCTGTGTTGGGGTCCTTCACTCTGCCGTTTGACAAAGGTGTGCTGATTCAGCAACTAGACATTTGGTCCTTTCTTGGAGGTACCCCTCATTTCTGGTGCTGAGTGAAAAACAAAATACTTCCTGGACAGGTTCAGAAAATGTATGGATCTTGTCAGACTTTTAAAAAATTGATGCAACAGCAGGTGGAGTGGACTCAGAGGATGGAGAGCGGAAGTTAATTTTTTATTTATCCTTGAGGAAGATAGCTATTTTAAATTTGCCAAGTGTGATATATGTTTTCCTTGTTTCATAAATCAGCCCTCTTTTTGGGAATTTTTGATCTATATATTAATTTGCATGGACTGTTGTCCCTTGAGTCTTTTCTCCATTACTCATCGAGCTACTTCCAGGAAAGGATGTTCACAGAGATTATTCCCTCTAACGCTTCTAAAGTTGTTAGCAGACAACCTTGCTTCATGGGCAGAGGCAGCCACTCTGCAGGGGCCCCCACCTGTGAACGTGAAACTTACTGATATCTCCACTGATCTACCCCAATGCCAAGAGGCAAACCCCTTTCCTAGTGACCCTGCGGGAATAGAACAGAAAGGGAAGCCACAGATGGTGTTCCCAGCAGTAGGTCCTAAGAGGTGCTATGTGACAATCTGGACAGTGTCCGGAGAGAATGAAATAAGGCCTTGATCACCCACGGAGCCTAGGTCCTACTGCCAGAAGACAAAAAACTGGTTAAAGACAACTAGATGTGTTAAGACAGGAAAGATGCAGCTGAATCTTGTCTTCCAGTACCTAAATT